AAATAATAAGATGCTAGTGTCAGTAACTGGGCATTTTGGGGAATCGAGTACCCCTGTATCACTGCTGTCATACATCAAAAACTTAACACTTCATAGTAGATTTAAATTAGCAGATTTATGAACAGAATTATATCTCTCCAAAATTCATACAACGAGGTCTCAAAACCTAGTACTTCAGAATATAACTGTATTTGGAGATAGAGTCTTTAAAGAGATAACTGAGTCAAAATCAGCTGTATGGGTGAATTCTAATCAATACAACTCTATTTGGGAATAAAACCTTCAAAGAGGTATTTAGATTAAAATGAGGCCCATAAAGTGGGGCCCTAATCCAATGGGACCTAATCTAGTATGACCAGTGTTCTTACAAAAAGACAAAGAAACTCCAAGGCTGCAAACACGCAGATTAAGGTCATGTGAGGCCACAGCAAGAAGCTGACATCCACAAGCCAGGGAGAAAGGCGTCAGAAGAGAACAAATCTGTCAACACTCTGGTCTTGCAGTTTTGGCCTCCAGAACAGGGAGTGTAAGTTTCTGTTGTTTAAGCTACAGCCTCTGACATTGTGTCGCAGCAACCCTAGCAAGCTAACACTGTGCATTTACTGTGGCGTCATTACTTAAGCCTATTGTTCCTGTTGGTAGTAACCACCAGTCAAAAAGGGGCTTCTGATGGCTCAGCGGGGAAAGAATCCTCTGGCAAAGCAGGAGACACAGGAGATGCAGTTTGGGTCCCTGGGTCAGGAAGATTCCCTGCAGGAGGAAATGGCAACCCACTCCAGTAATCTTGCCTGGGAAATCCCACGGACAGAGGAGCTTGGTGGGCTGCAGTCCGTTGGGTCACAAAGAGTCAGACATGACCGAGCAACCAAGCTCACAGTATCAATCAAAAAAACATCTCATAGACATTTTATAATTCAGAAGATAGAACAAAAATGATGGTATTCTAACAATGGAGCAGGGAGTATATTACATACCCACTCTTTATTAACTCCAAGTGTTAACTACTGCCAACCCAAATATGCTTATTTCAATCTTACCCTTTCTCATCAGTAATTCTAAAAATATGGGCACAGCATCTCCTGGGAACTTGTTAGAAATACACATCTTGGACCTCACTCCAAAGCAACCAAACCAGAAACTGCTGGTTCAGCCCAGCTGTTTGTGGAGGTTATTTATTTGAGTTTTTTTGAGTTTATTTTTTGAGCTTATTTGAGCTGTTTATTTGAGTTAATAAACTCAGGGGAGTTCAGCATACACTCAGGTTGATAAACATTCTAATAATTCATCTCCGTGCATGTGCACGTGTTAAGTCCCTGCAGTCATGTCCAACTCAATATGACCCCATGGACTGCAGCCCACCAATCTCCTCTGTCCATGGGATTCTCCAGGCAAGAATACTGGAGTGGGTTGCCATGACCTCCCCCAGGGATTGGTTGGATCCCGACCCAGGGATCCAACCCACGTCTCTGATGTCTCCCGCGCTGGCAGGAGGGTTCATTACCACTAGCGCCACCTGGAAAGCCCAGTTCACCCCCACCAATCACCAGAGTGAACTACAGACTCGGAATGCAGGTTTCGTCATGCAGCTGCTCTCTCCTGCTCACTCTGATGTAACAAGTCGCCCATAGCCAATGTGATTATCTTTAGGATCTAATACTAGACGTACTCAAATGTTTAAGGTTATGATTTGGAGTTCATAGCCTAGGTCTGAATCCCAGGCTCTCACTTAATCTGTGTTCATGGACAAACTATGTAATTTCCTCCCCCTTGTCATAGGATAATCCCATGCCTACCTCATAGGATCGCCGGCCTGAGTGCTAAGTCTCTTCCGTCGTGTCCAACAATTCATGAGCCCACGGACTGTGACCCGCCAGGCTCCTCAGTCCATGGGACTCTCCAGACAAGAACACTGGAGTGGGTTTCCATGCCCTCCTCCAGGGGATCTTCCCGACCCAGGATTGCTGAGGATCGAATTAGTTAATACATATAAAATGTTAGAACTGGGCCTGGTGTTTAATAAGTAGTCAATAAATGTTCCCCTTCAGAGATCACCGCCTTGTCGGCAAGGGGGCTTGTGTAACTCGGTGAAGCCATGAGTCTTGCCACGTAGGGCCCCCCAAGACGGCGGGTCAGCGTGAAGAGTTCTGACAGAGCATGGCCCACTGGAGGAGAGAATGACAACTCATTTCAGTATTCTTACCTCGAGAACCCTATGAACAATAGAAAAGGCAAAAATGATGCCACCAGAAGATGAACCCCCCAAGTCAGAAGGTGTCAGTATGCTATGAGGGAGAAGCAGAGAGCAATTACTGAGAGCTCTGGAGAGAATGAAGCGGCTGGGTGAAGCAGAAACGATGCTTAGCGGGGCGGTGTCTGGTGCTGTGAAGAATGGACAGGAGTTTGAGCAAATGCCAGGAGGAAGTCAGGACAGGGAAGCCCGGCGTGGGGTCTGAAAGGCCGGGCATGACCGAGCGACTGAACCACCACCACAATAAATATTAAATTAAAAAATGATTTAGTATTTTTCTTCCACTGCTTCCTTATTAGCTAATATCACACTTCATTGCGTGTTGCTTCGCTCCAGTAATACTGAACCACCCTGGTACCCTCTATGTATTATGCTGTCTATTCTATCACTTTACATAGTCTGAATTTTTCTGAACCTTTTTTAAAGTTATAATGATTTTTGGTGTGTTAGGTCTCCGTTGCTGCGCGAGCTTTGCTCTAGTTGCTGCAAGAAGGCTACTTGCTGCTGCGGAGGCTTCCTTGTTGGGGAGCCCAGCGCGCGCTGGGGAAGTCGGTGCGTGGGCTCCGCGTCTGCCGGGCGCTGCTCCGTGCATGCGGCGTCTTTCTGGGTCGGGGGTACCCACGCCTCTGGCCCAGGCAGGCGGATTCTTTGCTGCAGCGCCTCCTGGGAAGCCCCTCATACTATAAATCTCTACTTCTACTGTTTCAGCCTCCTTGAGCACCCTCTCATATCCAGTGTTGCCTAGATAAGGCGTATTTATTTTTCAGCCAAACCCAATAATGGTTTCTTCCAGGAAGTCTTTCCTTACACCCTCTTAGTCATCCACCTTAGACTGAAGTTTGTAGTCCTGTTTTGCTTTTCCTTAGTATGTGTGCTTGATTCTGGGTTGCAGAGACGATCCACATGCTCATAAACCACTCCCTTCCTCCTGGGCTCAAAGCCAGCGGATCTTTCCCAGTCTCCCCTGCAGGTAGCTGTGGCTTCGTAACGGATTTCTAGCCAATCAGTTACGATGGGATTCAAGCAGAAGTGATGTGTAATTCTTCCAGGTCTGCCTTAGAGAACCTCTCTAAGATAATCGTCCGTCCTCTCTGCCTGCTACACTGAAGATGAAGCAAATGTTTTCAGAGGAGCCTGAAAGGATCCTGAGTCCTACATAAACATGGGAAGCCCATCTACCTAACCGTTAGAAACATATATGTTGAAATCATTAAAGTGTTTAACTGCTAAGACTTAGAGATTGATCCGTTACAGTAGCTAGCCTTACCACAACGTATGCACTCTGTAATCATACTGCAAACTCAGTATTAAAATTATATTTTATTTATCTGAATCACTTATTAGGCTGCTGTAACAGTTCTGAGTTTAGAGACTGTGAGATGTCTCATTCATATTTGTTAACAATAAGTAAATACAGACATTCAATGAAAGCCTGAATTCAATGAATGATGACAGAGTATTGAGAGGTACATGAAAACTACATATTGTAGATGATTAATAAATGCTATCTCATTTAACTTTTGCAACCATGCTTGTGGGAAATGTCATTTTCTCTGTTTTATAAGCAAAGGAAGGAACGCAAGAAGACAAGCATTTGGGCAAGGTTGAGAGCCAGCCCACTGAGGCTGAGAAAGAATACCCAGATCATCCTAATTTTATTTAAAGCCTATGTGACTTCCTTGAAACATGTGTCACAGAGTCTGTGAAAACGTACAGTTCATATCCACAGCCTCATGTCCTATTTAATTTTTTTAAATAAACAATTGGGCCATATTTTTGTTGCATATTTCTCCAATGGAGAAGAAGACTTTTCAAAATCTCCCAAATTAATTTCCTTTTTAGGGAAACTTATCAGATGTTATCCCAAAATATTTTTGGTCAATCATGTTCATCTATCTCATTTTTCAGACGTCTTTAGACTTACCTTTTGAATAAGTGCTCTAGGCTGTTTTTTTTTTTTTAATGGGAGAAAGAAGATAATTTTTCTTCAAACAATGAGGTAGTTTACGATTTAATCGAAAATAAAATACCAGCAACTTGTTATCTTCCAACAAGAACTCCGCAGTCTTTGCTTGCACACTGCTTATTAGTCTCCTTGGCAACGGGTAATCACTTGTTCCCCTTAAATAGATGAGATGCCAACAAATATGTAATAGTGGTTTGATACATCAGCAGAGAAAAGTGCTATAATGACAGCATAATAAATCTGAACATGAAAAGTTAATAGCTACATTAGTGACAGGCTAACTATAGTGTGAGAAGCGCATGCAGTCTGAATTTTCTGCTTCCGCTTCGTTCTCTCTGTGATACTCCATCCTCCCACTCCCCCTCCGTTTTCACAGCCTGAAACCTGCGAAGGAATACAAACCTTTCACAAGAAAATAAACCTGTTAGTAATTTCTGTTATCCTCTCATAAAAAAAAGGACTGTCAATTGTTTGGGATCCGGGTAAATATTTTTATTAAAAAAATGGGAGCTTGAGGCCATCCTTGAAGAGTCAAATGTGTAATCTGAACCCAGTTTACCTAAATGTGTTGCCTTCGGGGGTGTTCACCTCGATTCGCCCCATCGGGGTCGCTCGGCCCTCCGGAACGCCCGCTTCGTCCCCTGGTTAAGCATCCTAGTTCGTCAGAGAGGCCGGGCAGGTCTCAGCGCGGTTCTCACGGGGAGGCCTGGCGACTGGGTGCGCTTCCTGCCTTTGGCCCTGGAGGGGAAGCCGGCCGGCGAGCCTGCGGGGTCCGCGCGGGGTCAGGCCTCTCATCATCGCTGCGGGACGCCTCAGCTCCGGAGGGGCCCGCGGGTGCCCATGGCTTTCACGGCCCTTCAGCATTAGCTGTCCTCGGCAGTGGCACCAGATGTGGGCGGCCGTGAGGGGTCAGCCGCTCGGATCTCCAGTCTCCTCCCTGCTGGTTCTCAGCACCGCCGCCTCGGCTTTCAACGGTTCCATCTTCCTTTAACCTCGGTCCCCAGTTCTGTCTTTCTCTCTGATAGAGGAGCAGAAGCATCTGCAAAATGCTTCTGTTTTCAGACACTAAGCAGTCCAACAACATGGAAAGGTGAGACTGGAGAATGGAATGGATTGAAGAAGCAAGAAACCAATCAATATAGATAATAGGATAATATTAGAAATCATTTCTATCGCCCGCCAAGGACCGTGTATCAATCCGTGTGTGAGATTCTATACACGCGATTTCCACTCAACCTTATAATACGGATATCGCTGTTGGGAGTTTTTAAGTAGCTGCCGTTTTCACAGATGTCAAACATGCTGTCCAGAACTAGTTCCCTCCGCAGAAGGAGAAAGTGGCAGAGCTAGTCGGTCAGCCGTGTCTAACTCTGGGCGACCCTATGGCCAGGCTCCTCTGTCCGTGGGATCTCCAGGCAAGAATCCTGGAGTGGGTTGCCATGCCCTCCTCCAGGGGATCTTCCCGACTCACGGATCCAACCCGCGTCTCCTGTGGCTCCTGCATTGCAGGTGAATTCTTTACTGTCGAGCTACTGGGGAAGCTCAGCAAGTAGCAGAATCAGAATTTTAATCCACATCAGCTTGCTTCCAAAGCCAATGCACAGTTGAAAGGGTCATTTAAGGCCAATTAATGATTTTCTACAAACCTCAGTCACCCTTCATCCAGAATTCTCTGAGAGTGATGAACCAAATTCTGAATAGTTCCAGGACCCTGCCTTCCGAGGCATCTACTGATAGTTAATAATACAAGAAAGAATGGCGAATATTTATGTAATGCTTACAATGTGCCAGGCATATTCTAAAATCCAGAACAGGATCCGCGGTTTTAACCACGGACTCTGAAATCACTGCATGAGTTAGAATCTTTATCCTAGGCTTGTGAGAGCTTAGGCCTCTGTACCTCACTTAACACCTTTGTATTTTTCATTTCTAACGTGGAGAGTCATAAGATTTCCTATAATGTATGGTTACTGAGAAAATTGGAGAGGGGCATGGCAACCCACTCCAGTACTCTAGCCTGGTGAACCCCACGCACAGAGGAGCCTGGTGGGCTACAGTCCATGGCGTTACGAAGAGTCAGACACTGCTGAAGCAACAGCATGCACAAACTGTGAAAATAGGATGAGGTCATATGTATAACTCTTGGACCAGTGACTGCACATATGAGGCATTCAGTAAATGTTAACTAGACTGTGAGTTATTCTTACTGTTCCTGTTTACAGGGCAATGTGCTAAGCCATTCACGTATTTCTCTTGATCTCTTAGTAATTCTGTGCTTTCTGCACTACGATTATCCTTATTTTACAGATAACACAGATGAGGCACAGAGGGGTGAGACACATTTTCTGGGGACACACGGTGGGGAGTGACTGAGCCGGAGCTCTAAGCCAGGCATGATGTCTCAGAAGCCGGCTTTCTCAGCATCAGGCACCCTGGCCTGATTGCCAGATGACATTATCAGTTCCAAAGTGTGCTCCTATGTGAAGCCAAACTCTTTATGTGAAATGTTAACCCCTTGGTCTTAGCTTTTGTTACCAATACTTTGCACACATCAGTGAACCACGAGAATGTCCTTTTTCCTTCTGTCTAAGGCTCCACATCGCTCATTACCCACCCCAATGTTCCTGCTTCACTAACTTTACATCATGAGCCATTTGCTAAAGCTACTCTGGGGAAAAGGTGCAAAACCAATACAGGTAACTTAAGGCAAGAAGACAGATAGTTCACAATGTGCTTGACCAAAATTCTGTATAAAATTTACGCAGGGATCAAGGGGTTTTTCTTATGATGGAAAATTAAAATAAGAGGCAGTCCACTGAATCTGGGGATTTGTTCGCCAATTTTCCAAGAGGAGTCGGTTCTGTACCCTCTCGGCCCCCAGGACAGGGGCACGAAGTCCAGGTTCCACTACCCAGGAAGGGACAGCAGGCTCTGACTTGGCCGCAGAGGGTGGCACGCGCCCACAGTGCTCCGCCCTCCAGGAGCCGGCAGCTTGAGCAAAGCCCTGTGCCTGTTGCAGATTTGTATCATAGCAACATGCACATTTTTAATAAATAAATGGTTCTCCAAATAACTTTATTCACTGAGGAGAGATTTCCGGATCTTGCTGCTGCATCTGAATAGCAATTGATGTTCAGTCCTTCCTGTGTTGAATCTAAAAAACCACACAAACCCCCTTCCCTCTCTGTAAATTATTCTCACAAGTGGAAAGTGCTTTGGTTTTCAGGGGATGGTAAAACACCATGTTTCAAAATTCTCTTGAGTTAGGGGAGAAACAATGTCAGGGATGAGAGTTTGATTTAAAAGGATGAATCTCTGTCGGATGTCATTTCCGAATTCACCACTAGAACAGTGACTTGGCTGAGGAGTTGTTCTGATTTCATTTCCAGTCATTTCACACTGTGCTCCTCTCAAGAATCTTGCAGTTTGCTCAGAAAAGGGGATGGCGGGATGGAAAAAAGAAAAAAAAAAAAAGGTAGAACATCAAATAATTTTTACACACATAATTGCCTGAGGAATTAGGCAATTGAACCAATGAAATCAGTTCCAAGTAACCTCTGTTGAAATGTCAAGCAATTCCACTTTTATTCATCCTTCATCCCCTCCCACTTCTGCCCCCCATGGTCAATGGTGAGGGGATTTAACACAAGCCAAAGAATCCTCTTATCAAATGTCCCTAGCTGTCTGAAAAAAACTCGCCCAGCCTCTGTAGACCAGCACTTCATCCTTTAGAAAGATTGTAGCATCCCTTCCTGCTTGGCCCTAGACTAATTTCAGCTCCTTGTCTCATCTGGAAGCCTCGCTCACTTCCTGTGTCCTCTTCCCCCTAGAAGTCAGGCCCCTCTTGGGGTCTCACCACACTCTGGATACTTTCCTAGCATGGAGTGTGTGCTCAGTCTCTCCATCACGTCTCCGTGGACTGTATCCACCAGTCTCCATCTCGACTCTTTGCGGCTCCGTGGACTGTATCCACCAGTCTCCTCTGTCCATGAGATTCTCCAGGCAAGACTACTGGAGTGAGTCACCATGCCCCCCTCCAGGGGATCCTCCCGACCCAGGGATCAAAGCCCAGTCTCCTGCACTGCAGGAGGATTACTTTACTGTCTGAGCCACCAGGGCAACCTAGCAAATTTACATTTATTCAAGTGCACATCCATTTGCTTTCTAAAGTGTGAATTTCTAAAGGCAGATGCTAGGTCGTACGCTTTTTTAAAAATCCCAATTGCAAATTGTCTTTTCAAGAACTGTTTGTTGGATGGATGGATGGGTAGATGACCAAACTAAATAATAAGACCTAACAGAAATCTTGGCATCACTACCTTTAAAGCTCAGTAATTAAATACTCATTAATTTGGGGGATGATTAAATAGAGTGAAAAAAGCAATTGGTTTTAAAGAAAAAACAGTTGGGATGGTAAACAATGTTCTAAAATTAGGTTATAAAAAATAAAAATAAAATAAAATAAAATAAAATTAGGTTATAGTAAATGTTGTACATTTCTGAAAATAAATGAAAAATCACTGGCAAAAAAAAAAAGTCCTGGGCTTAAATCTCTACTATATTACTTACTTGCTATTTGGTCTGATTGCTTAACTTCTGAGACCATGAACTATCTCTTTTATAAGTTGGGCCTATTAAAGCTTGACTCAAAGGATTTTTATAAAAATGAAACAAGATTGTGAATAGAAAGGGTTTGGTCAAATCTAAGTGCCCAATAAATGGAAGTTATCATTATTTCTAAACCTAAGAACCTATCTATACTCTAAAATATATTTGTTTCTAAATTAAAATAATCGAAGATATCCCAGAATACACAAATGCATGCATAGACATATTTTCCTTAGCACTAAAATTCGAACCAATAGATGATTTATCATATATTCATGCATGCACACACACACACACACACACACACACAAACATATACAGTCAGGAGTATAAAATGGATATTGCTCCCTGAAAACACCAGTTTGGCCGAAGAACTCTTACTTGTTTGCACAAGTCATCTTAAGGGATAATAATAATAATAACAACAATATTTATGTAGAGCATATGTTCCAGGTGCTGGATCAAGCACTTTACTACATTATGTTAGCTACTGAAATAAGAATACATTAATGTGGGTGAATGATTCTTAAGCCAATTTAACAGGCAGGGAAACAACACAGAGAAATTCAGTAATTGGTTCAAGTTCATGCAGTTAGTAAATAACGTGGTTGTCAGGCAAGTTCATTAAGGTAGCATTCATACCAAGCTGTTGTTGCTCAGTCACTAAGTTGTGTCCAGTTCTTTGCAACCCCATGAGCAGCATGCCGCTTCCTTATCCTTCACTATCTCCCAGAATTTTCTCAAAATCACGTCCATTGAGTCGGTGATGCCATCCAACCATCTCATCCTCTGTCATCCCCTTCTCCTCCCGCCTTCAATCTTTCCCAGAATCAGGGTCTTTTCCAATGAGTCAGTTCTTTGCGTCAGGTGGCCAAAGTATTGGAGCTTCAGCTTCAGCATCAGTCCTTCCAATGAATATTCAGGGTTGATTTCCTTTAGGATGGACTCGTTTGATCTTCTTGTAGCCCAAGGGACTCTCAAGAGTCTTCTCCAACACCAGTTCAAAAGTATCAATTCTTCAGCGCTCAGCTTTCTTTATGGACCAACTCTCACATCTGTACACGACTGCTGGAAAAACCATAGCTTTGACTACACAGACATTTATCAGCAAAGTGGTATTTCTGCTTTTTGATATGCTGTCTAGGTTTGTCACAGATTTTCTTCCAAGGAGCAAGTGTTCTTTTAATTTCATGGCTGCAGTCACTGACTGCTACCACGTTATGATACAAAGTTACCTCATTGTGAAACAGATGACTGGCAGGAACTAGCCCATGTTCCCAGATCAGAATACACCCAATCTTATCAAGCTAAACATCATGCAAAGGACTTACAGAAACGTGTGCAAGTCCAAAATACATGAGGTAGTTGGATCAGAAAGCTTCAGATTCTCACCCCATGAATGCTGTTCCTTGACTGTATCTTCTGGGATGTCAAGGTGCAAGACCTTCAGGCATGATGGGTGGCAGGCAGGGGTCCTCAGTGTAGATACCCAGGGAGCCACTTGGATTTGGAGCTCGAAATGCTATGTGTGTGATTTGTCTTTGAAGCCATAGCTGGGACATGTAAACTTTCTGGAAGTTCCCTCAGCTATGCAATCACATCAGCTGGTATTTAAGCACCCCCCCCCCCTTATTCTGGTTGATCTGCATACCTGCTCTTTATTACAGAGAAAGACGGAGTCATCACACAAAATGAAACGTACATATATGTATTCCCAGTTGTTTTATCTATGGAAGAGGAGTAGTATTAATGAATAGCAAATCCCCAAATCAAGCATCTTTCACCTACATAGTGTATTTTCCAGGAGAGAAGATTTATATCAAAGTGGAAAAAAATCCCTTTTAAGTAAAAAGCCCAACCGTAGTGGTGACAGCATTCCAGTATTGTGCATTATGCCAAAGATGTGGAGAAAGGCTACTGCAGGATGCCAGAACTAGTAGTTCTTTTATTTACCCATTTACATTTGGAAAAATATTTAATTTATTTGGCCATGCTGGGTCTTTGTGGTGGCATGCAGGATCTTCACTGCAGCGCATGGGATCTTTAGTTGCAGCATGTGGGATCTGGTTCCCTGACCAGGAATCAAACCTGGGCCCCCTACATTGGGCGTGAGCCATCTCAGTCACTGGAACATTAGGGAAGTCCCAGGAAGCTCTTTTAGCCAGGATTGGTAGCGCTAATGGTAAAGAGCTGGATTGCCAGTGTCGTAAGAGACACAGATGTGGTCTCTGGTTTGGGAAGATGCCCTGGAGAAGGAAGTAGCAACCCACTCCAGTACTCTCATCTGGAAAATTCCACGGACAGAGGAGCCTGGTTGGCTGCAGTCCAAGGGGTCACAAAGAGTCAAACAGACTGAGCACACAGCCAGTCAGTCTTAATGCACGACAGAATCACCGAGAGAGCTGGAAAAGCAAAGACACTGCCTCTGCCGCTCTCTCAGGCACAGGCCAGGAGCTTTCCTGGTGATTCTGGTGGGGGTGGCCGGGGTACCACACTTGGACAAACAATGCTCAAGGGCATCCTCAGTTGTTTAACTGTTGATACTATTTGTTTTAAATGCTTTAAAGCCTGTAAAGAATTACAGACATCATCTCTTGACCCTTATGTCATTAGATCCCAAGATGTGCAGTTACTTTTGTACAGAAAATCAGAAGGCAAATGTGGCCTTGCGGATTTTTCTCCCACAGTTAAGATGCCCCTCCCCTGTCATCCATTTCACCTTCGTTGGCTGGAGCCCTTTTCTACAGACAGTTCAGTTCAGTTCAGTTACTCAGTCGTGTCCAACTCTTTGCAACCCCATGGACTCCAGCACACCAGGCCTCCCTGTCCATCACCACCTCCCAGAGTTTACTCAGACTCATGTCCATTGAGTCTGTGATGCCATCCAACCATCTCATCCTCTTCTGTCCCCTTCTCCTCCTGCCTTCAATCTTTCCCAGGATCAGGGTCTTTTCCAATGAGTCAGCTCTTTACACCAGGTGGCCAAAGACAGTAGAAGCAGAGAAAGCCCTTGCCCAGAAGCCCAGGGTTTTATGCTTGCCAACTGCTGAAAAAGAATTCATTAGAATTTTGTCTGGATAGATGCCCAGGAGTGGGACTCGAAATAATGCCATTTGTAGCAACGTGGATGGACCTAGACATGATCAAACTAAGTGAATTAAGTCAGACAGAGAAAGACAAGTACCGCAGGATATAACTTATATGTGGGATCCAAAATGTGACATGAATGAATGTGTCCATGAGACAGAAACAGACTCACAAATGCAGAGAACAGATGTGGTTGCTGGGGAGGCGGGCGGACGAGGGCTGGACTGGGCGTTTGGGATTAGCAGGTGCAAAGTATTATATATAGAAAAACAGCATGGTCTTATGGTATAGCACAGGGAAGTATATTCAGTATCCTATGATAAGCCATAACGAAAAGGAATATGGAAGAGAATAAACACATACAACTGAACCACTCTGCTGTGCAGCAGAAATTAATATAACATTGTAAATTAATAATACTGCAGCTCAAAACATAAATAAATATTAACTTGAAAAAAGAACCCATTAATTCAGCAGGGCCTCTCCTTGGTGCTGAGTAACTGACGGCCCTTCTAATATCAATCTCGTCATTGTAGTAAAGCTACTACAACACACTGAAGACTAAACCAAAGCAACACGCGCTCTGAATACAGCTGGCGTTGCCGGGAACAGCGCAAGGGTCGGTGGCAGGCGTAGATTTGGCACTTTGATCTGCACGTCTTAGATCCCTGCGCCATGAAAGGAAAGCTGGTAAACAGACAGGGGAGAGCTCTGAACTCGAAATAACTGAGTCATCAGCACCATCATACCGTCACTGCAATCACAGTCATCGCCACTGTCTCTCGGCCGGTGCGATGAACAACTGCCTCCCTCGCCAGTGCTGCAAACAGTGATCTATCCTTTAGCCAGCTTCTATGAAGATTTGTTAGTCTATGGAAGAGTCTGATTAAAATTTTTGTTCTTGTTCTGAGTATTGTCTCCAAACCTCACTTACTATTTATCCTGGGGCAGCTGCTCTGACTCTCTGGTCTTATTTATTTTATATTTGTTACATGTGGAAAGTAACATTTTACCCCTGTGACCATTGATCAGATGGAATTTTTTTAAAGCGAAGGAGTGTGGTACAGAGACTGAGTGTGTTTTAGTTCCATTCCCCTCACTTACCTGACACGGCAGAGGGTACGCAGCAACTGCCCACTAATAAAGAAGGCATGAATGGAAGCACGGCGGTGGAAGAGCAGTCAAATAGAAAACATGATAAAACTTGATTTACAGGGTGAAATACCAATTATTCTTTAGTAGAGCCCCACAAAAAGCAACATGTTTTATTTAATAAAGTACTATATCAAAAATGTTATTATTGGAAGAGTCCTTATATGTCAACTATATCAACCCATTCATATTATAAACTGGATAAAGGAGAGTCAAAAATAAACTCTCCATACAATTTACCAACCCAGCCAGGACGTCTTTTGTGCTTGAAATGGGGCACTAGTGACGATGTCATCGGCACAACAGGTGTCAGCTGGAAGTGTTCCAGGCTGATGAGGACTACTCATCAGCTCGCCTAAGACAACCCACGAGGTGCCGACTGATGTCAGTCACCTTTTCCCTCAGCTCAGCATTGTTTTCTGACCATCCCTGTCTCTCTTGATGTGGTCGTGTGTGCTCAGTCACTCGGCTGCGTCCCGGCTCTTTGCAACCCCATGGACTGCGGCCGCAGGCTCACCGCCCCTGGGATTCTCCAGGCAAGAACACAGGGGTGGGTGGCCATGCTCAACCCAGGGACTGAATCCATGTCCCCCACAATGGCAGGCGGGTCCTCTGCCTCTGAGCCGTGGGAGGAGTCTCTAATGCATCACTTTTATGTTATTGATCAAACAGTACTTTAAAGAATTATTCAAACTATGCAGGGCTTCCCAGGAAGCCGCCCTGAAGGTCGCCCTGAGCCTTCTCTCCGGCTCTGTCCTGCTTCCTTCATTCCTTTTCTCCCAAGAGCACCCCTCGGAGAAATCAGCTCTCGGGAGGCTCCCGTTTCAGCCTCTGCTTCTGGGAGACCCAGTCAAAGACCACAGGACCGGCCGTGGACAGGGGGCAGAATGTTCGAGAAACAAAGAAACACGTTGGAGAACAGATGGCTTGGGAGGCCCTGCTCTGCTTGCCCGCACCTCACACCGATCAAGGCGGGGGCCCTCGCGGTGCTGGCCGGACTCGGCCTGGAAACAACCCGTGGAAGGTGCGGCGCGGGCTGTGAGCGCCAGGCCCCGGGAAGCGTGAGCCGAGGCCGAAGGGGCTGGCCTGTCTCCGTCCGCAGGTCATCCCGGGAGACGTGCCTGTTCAGATGAGGCCCCAAATCCAGGGTGACCGGCGTCCTCGGCCCTCCAGGACAGAGGTGACGCGGAGGCGCCCAGGGAGACCCCAGGGGACACAGGCGGAGGCGGCCGTGCGCGCTCACGGCCCGAGGGTCACCGCAGGCGGCCGGAGACGGCGCGGGGCGGGCGTGCCTGGGGCCGCAGGAGAAAGGCGCCCAGTCAGCGCCTTGGCTTTGGACCTCTAGGTTCCAGAACGGAGAGAATGGGTTTCTGCTGGTTTGGGGTTTTTTTAATTGTATTAGAGCATGGTTGTTTTACAATGGTGTGTGAGTTTCTGCTGGAGAGCGAAGTGAATCAGCTGTATGTTCACATGTATCGGCTCTTTTTTTTGGATTTTCTTTCCATTCCCACCGCAGAACACTGAGTGAACGTCTGCTGTTTTTAAACCATCAAAGTTTATGGTCATTTGTTGGGATAGCCATCGGAACGAATATGTCTAACTACACAGTGGCACTAAATCAGTATCCATTCAGTTCAACCTCTCGGTCGGTCCGACTCCGAGACCCCACGGACTGCAGCACGCCAGGCCTCCCTGTCCATCACCAACTCCCGGAGCTTGCTCAAACTCATGTCCATCGGGTTGGTGATACCATCCAACTATCTCATCCTCTGTCATCCCCTTCTCCTCCCACCTTCAATCTTTCCCAGCATCAGGGTATATTCCAAAGAGTCAGTTCTTTGCATCAGGTGGCCAAAGTATTGGAGTTTCAGCTTCAGCATCAGTGAGTATAACCTGGGTTTTCGTTCATAAATCTGGCAGGACCATCTCTGTACTAGAGGTTGCTGGCAAACTTGTCTGGCCTCCTCCACGTCTCACCTAACTTAACCCAGAGAAAAAAACTGGGCAAAAGAGGCATTGTTTTGTTCTGCCCTCTAAGGCGTTCTGCTTCCATGGAGTCCTGCATCTTTAGCTAAATACATCACAAATGTGCAGAGGGGATGTTTGCGTAGCCTTTCCCATCACAACCCAACCCACCTGAAACACTCTGACACTCTCAAAAATAATTTGGATGAATGAATAAAACATGATCAACTAATAATTAGCACTTGAAGGTGAACTCTTTCTCAGGAGGGTAATTCACTGCTGTGCTAATTGTTTTCCCCAGTATCAGACCTTAGCTGACATTTGGTTTTAACTTCAGCATAACAATTCCCAGCTATGTTTAGAAGGACTATGAGCAGTTTCCTAGGACTTGGCCAGAAATTATTCGCAATGCCTGGATTACACACTTTGAAAAATGTGAAGTTGTATGTTAGTCAAGATTCCAAATCTAGCTTTGGCTCAGGCTCCTAGCTTGGAATACTCAACAGAAACTTATGATCAGCCATGGCACTCCATTTCTAAGCAAAACAACATGAAGGAGACATTTGCTGTTAGATAATCAGCAATTTAAAAATCACGGATGTGAATTAGCATCAATGTGTCAGTTTATTGCCCAGCCCGATAATAAGGATAGATATTTTGCATGGTATGGCTAATTCTATGGGAAATATATTCCGAAATATGGGAATGAGCAAAGGTTATTTTGAACATTAATAATAAAAATCTTTTGTGTGGATATTTTTCAAATAATCTGGCAGCTTCCAGGTATTTTGGAAAAGTTGTATGTGGCTCCTCTCCACCCCTCCCCACCCCCCCAAAAAAACCCCAAACTTATGTCCAGAAACATTATTATTTCGGAATTTTTCATCATGTTTAACTTAAAGAAAGAAAGAAAGAAAGAAGAAATGTTTTTTTCCTTCGTGTGTAAGATACTTGGTGTTTGTTTCTGAAATCCAATTTCTGCTCTTAGCTGAAGCCAGACTCTCCTAAAGGAAAGTGCAAAGAACATGACAGAATCCCTTTTTGAATAAAGTTACCCACCGCCTGAATCAAACAGCTCCTGTGTCTCAACTCCAAGAAACCCACACACACTCCACTACTTAATTTCTCACAAGTTATATTCTGGTGAAGGGAAACTTGACTGAAATAGATGGCAAAACAAGGTTCCCCAGGAAGCTGCCTATCCAAAACAAGAATCAAAAGCATTTGCAACCTAGATTTGGTGAATCTAGGAGCAGCGATTGGACGGGGGTGAAGGCACGGGGGTGCCTGGGGCCCTGAAGAGCAGCTGCAGAAGAGCCTGGGATCGATGCCGGCCAGGAGGCCTCCCGGGCCTTGCGAGGCCAGCGACAGCAGCGGCCTGGCAGGAGGCAACGCGCACACCACAGCAGGCTGCAACCCCCTCTTTCCCCAGAGGGGGAGGCAGTTCAGTTAGCAGCCAGCGGTTGCCTGATAGGAATGCGGATGGCTCAGGAAAGAATTCTCATGAAATGCAGAGAACCCGGTTCGATCCCTGCTTTGGGAAGATGCCCTGGAGACGGAAATGGCAACCCACTCCAGTGTTCTCGCTTGGAAAACCCCATGAACTGGGGAGCCTGGTGGGATACAGCCCATAGGGTCACAAACTTGGACACAACTTGGCAACTAAACAACAGCAACTAGGGCTCTTAGGTTTTTCTGATTTTTCAGAGAAATTGGAATTTCTAACTTCAAAGGAAACCCTCTTCTTAAAAAAAAATATTTGGGAGCTAATTAAAATTTGTTTAGGCACTGTTCAGGCAAAATAAGCAAACAAGCAAAAAAGACCTTTTATGTCCTATGGAAACATGGAACATTATCCTGCAACATCTTGTCTGAAGTGAAATTTTATTTCAGCAAGGGCCAACCACTAGGTTTCAAAGTTATAAATAAACTGATTGCTCTGCCTAACACTTAACTGAGATGTACTAAATGATTAAAGATGAGGAATTGGTGTCTTTCTAACAAGAGAGAAAGAAGGGCCATGGAACAGTGTCCTTCAGAGATGAATAAACACATAACATTTTACTTTTTTCCCCCATCAAAAAGCACATTTCTTTTGAGAAACATCACGAAATACATGTCCTGTGAGTCACTAAATGTCTTAGTTGACACTTGGAACAATTGTGTTATATAGTTTTCCTGTACTTCTTGGAATTGTAAGATGTTGCAAACACGTAGAGTAGAACATGCAGTCTACAAACTTGTTTGTTCTCAAAAGCCTTAAAGCTCCAACTAGGAATAAAAATGTGTCTTAAATTGGATACATTGCCTATGGGTTATTTATGGGTGAGAGAATAATATGCAACCATCTTTATATCATGAACTAAGTGAATAATAAAGACCTAAATAAACCAGTCTCCTGAAATCAGCAGTAATGTCTGTTTACTTGGACAATTTTGAAATTGTCAGAGACAGAGGACAGGACCTACCAATGTTTCTAGAACTGCTGAAGGAACCAGGGAGTCTTCATCACATAAAAACGCCATTAGTATCTTTTATTTAAAATTGAAATAGAAAAGTTCTTTTTAAAGAATTCCTGATTTTTTAAAAAAGAGGTTAATTTGTTCACTTTGACTTAGTATAGGACCAGAGTTAGGATAGAATGTGTTATGTTTTACATTTGAGTCAATAAAAAGGATTCATTTCATACTGTGGAAATAGTTGGCATAGAGGGGATTTTTATTCCAGGACTTAAAACAGAAGAATGGCATGATGCAAATGATGTGAACTGTTCAGATTGTTCTTATTATTTTGAATTTAGGACTTTACTGGCACACCAGGGGACACTGTTTGGGTCAGCAGTGAAAAGAAGTAATATCAACAATGTGAAGAGTCATCACGCAGCTATCAAAATGTGAAACATGCAAAAATTCCATCTCAACTGCCCAAGTCCACCTGGGGACATCCAGAACCTTTGATGAAAGGTTATTCAGTGTGATTTGGCAAGATGAAAAGAGCAAAGCTGTTCACCACACAGGCGGGCTGAGGACGCTGTGCAGGTCTGCAGCCTGAGCAATCGGATCCCGCAGCTCCGCCGTGTCCCCTCCGATCCCGCAGCTCCGCCGTGTCCCCTCGGATCCCGCAGCTCCCGTGTCCCCTCGGATCCCGCAGCTCCGCCGTGTCCCCTCGGATCCCGCAGCTCCCGTGTCCCCTCGGATCCCGCAGCTCCCGTGTCCCCTCGGATCCCGCAGCTCCCGTGTCCCCTCGGATCCCACAGCTCCGCCGTGTCCCCTCTGATTCCCCAGCTCCGCCGTGTTCCCACCAGAGCGGCTGGAGCGGCCGTAACCCAGGAGGCGTCAGTGTGGCTGAGTGATGGGTCAGAGACCCCCGTCTGTGTGCCTAGCATGCAATTTCTCTAACCCTTGGTTCCATTCTATTATTTTTTTCCCGTTTCTTCATAAAAATCAAGCTAATCATGTTCACTATACAGCTTTAGTATTTCTGGTGATGCTCTTTTGAATATGAGGTATTATTGTTATCAGGTAAAATCTTATGAAATCTTTTGCAAGGCAGCTGATACTGGACAAAGCCCTGCTTGTATTCTCTAAGCTATGAGAATATAAGAGGACAAAAATCACATACTTTTCCCCTTAAGTAGTTCCCTCTGCCCTCGGTTACACAAATGTAGGACAAACCATAATCGATTTTTTAAAATTTGAAAATACTGTTCAAATGTTTAGAATGCTAACACCAGAGTTTCCCATTAGAAGTCGGGTTGTCAAAAACAAACACAGCCTTCATTTTAGGCTCACTAAATGCTTGTGGATTAGGCTATTTTTAGATCTTGAGACTAAGGCTCAAATTGGCTCCTGTCAGTAAATATCTGGGGTCATCACTCAATTCATTTGATAGGATCTGTCCGGTAGCTCTGTTGTTAAGAATCATACCATTTAAAAATAGTCACACCAGGAATTATACTCAATATTTCTTTTTATGTTTTGGTTTTCTGGCCCCAAAGTATGTGAGATCTTAGCTCCTGACCAAGGATTGAACTTGGTCCCCTGAATTGGAAGGCGAAGCCTTAACCACTGGACTGCTTCAAGATTTTGTGATAACCTATAATGGAAAAGACTCTGAAAAAAATATAAAAGCATGTATAACTCAATCACATTACTGTACATCTGAAACAAACAGAATGTTGTAAATCAACTAAACTTGAAAAAAAATTAAAAAATAGAAATAACCAAATGTCCAGGTTTTGTTACAGTTGAATATCTCATCATATGTTGGCTAAATACTATATTTTCCTACAATTATGTAAAAAAAAAAAAACTGTAGTTGAGCTGACATGATTTAAACTGATAAAAGAAATGAAAAAAAAATTAGACTAACAAATTTCCCAAGGAAAGCGATGTTCTTAGCATATAGCTTCATGTGTGTATAAGGCAGTATTTCTTGAAACAATCCATCAAGTTTCTTCTTTTTTTTCAGGACAAAATTGTGTGTCCAATATAGCTGTATATGATGTTTTGGAATCAGATAAGTTCCATATGCAGGAATATGAAACCTGTAATTAAAAGGTTCATTTTTTTAAAAAAAATTATTGAAATTTAGAGGAATTAGACTCAGGTTTGGAACCAATTTTGAGAGGCAAATGACTTGCTTTTACTACATTCAGCCTTTTTAAAAGCACATCTCTATAAAGTAATTCCATTATTACTCTTGTTTCTTCCAGAAGGGAATCATTAAAATAATGAGCTGGCTCTGTCTCCCCAGAGACGGTTTGTGCTGAAACTGGAAACCACCCTCAGTGTTCTGTGACGGTCAGTCTTATGTCCTGACCCTTTGGCCACAAGGCTTTTCCCCAGTACCCAACGCTTCCACACATGTTTCCATAATCCCCTTAAAAAACAGATGGCGTACCATGAAATTCTTCTTGACCAGTTCATGAAAACTAAACTTTCTAGAATTTCAAGGACTTTTCTCCATCTAGTAGTAATAGCTCACAGTCAACAAGAGACAGAAGGCATTTGGGGGAAGATCTCTACCCAGGATTAGCCACCTCTAGCCCTAGCGTTGTGTGTTGGAATTATAAGGTAATGTATTTTATTTTATTGGAATATAATTACTTCACAATGCTGTGCTAGCTTCTGTTGTAGAATGAAGCCAATCAGCCATATGCATGTACACATCCCTCCCTCTGAGACCTTCCTCCTGTGGCACCCCTCATTATCCCCTCCCCAGGTCATCAGAGCGCCGGGATGATGACATATTTTAAATTGAACTGACAAATATCCAAGGATACACATATTGCTATCTGTGGCCAATAAAATTCTATATATTCTCACCATGGCTTCAAAACTCTGTGAAACTCTATAACATTGTTTCTCAATGGATTCATGTCTCACTAAGTTTGGACAAATAGCAGAGTGGCTTAAAAAAAATGTTTTTCCTGGAAAAAATGTAATCTGGGCCTCCAATAAAGGATTCTCTCTTTGCCAGTTTTCTTTAGGCTTGTTTTACCTTGTTCTGCATACTACCTGGATTGGAAGAAGATTGTATAAGAGTTCAATCCCTATGGTCAAAATGAGTAGACTGTATGCAATGATACAGTTGCATGACCCAACTCAAACTGCCAGCAAAGAGCCTTGCTAGAGAGCACGCTGCTGCTGCTGCTGAGTCCTTCAGTCGTGTCCGACTCTGCAACCCCATAGACGGCAGCCCACCAGGCTCCCCATCCCTGGGATTCTCCAGGCAGGAACACTGGGGTGGGCTGCCATAGCACCTTGATATTACAGCTGCTTGTCAACCTCCCCAATGCCCTAAAGTTAAGACTAAATTAGAGCTCCTCTTCTTAAAGTAAAATCAACCTAACCATTTAAAAATAAGATATTGAAAAGTGGTAGCAGGTAAAAGAGGTATTGAGGCTTACATTTAAAAATGATGCATGTATCTCTCTGTCCATACAGGCTTAGATTTAGATGGAGTGACTTACAACCTGGCTACCGTACAAGTCCTTATGCTTAGTTATAACACCACACACAAATCATTTCAGCTCTACTTTTTGGAAATTACTTTTAGAGGTGACTTGTCAGTTGTGAAGGGAATAACCCCGTTTTCTATTGCCCCTATTCTCAACTTGGTCACTGGTGTTAATCATCAAATTTGAGTTTAAATTTTGGCAGTCTCTAGAGACAATCGTCTGGGAAGAATGACTTCCATCACTGAGAAGCGGGGAAAGAAGATGTTCAGATTGAAGGCAGTTCTGGGTTCTGTCACGTCTGTGCCTTGATAACAGAAACTCCATGACTCTTGGCAACCTACTTGGGCTTTTGATCAAGCAGCACAGAGGAAGTTTTCCCAGTACAGAACCTGTCTTCCATCACCATTCATAATTCTGGTAAGCTATAAACCCATTTCTGGAAGTAACGACCTTGTAGACCACGTGAGGAAGATACAGCATCATACCCGTCTTTTCCTGGAAGCTCCGATACCCCTCTCAGCACAAGTAGGCAATGCAGACTTAAACAAAGACACGATCTACTTCGCTTCCTGATAGTAACCACTCTCATGAGTGAGGATACTGTGAAAAGACCAGAGAAGATGCTCTGGAAATACATTGGCTATTTTAATGAAAAACAACAGCTACCATTTTGTAAAACATTCACTGTCAGGACTCAGTCCAAAAAATTCTCGCTATGTCAATAACAAGAGGGCACAACTGATATCGTTTGTTGGTGGAGGAAGTGGTCTAAATAAGGTGGCTCTTACCTAAAACACAGGCGAACTCAGGACAGGATTGGGGGTGGCTCAGAGGGGACCCCTTCGTGGTGAAGGGAGACAGCACAGCCAGGAGAACAAGGATGAGGCAAGTGAGTATCTGTGGCCGCCTTTGCAGGCACACTGCCAGTTTTCTATTGCTGTTACTGGGACTGGTTTCATTCACACTTTTTTATGCTTTAGACTGAGACAACAGACGCAGGATATCCTAAATGACTTTGGCATGAATCCAGTGGTTAGCAAGTCCTCTAACAGTTGTCAGGACTCCCCTGGTGGCTCAGACGGTAAAGTGTCTGCCTACCATGCGGGAGACCCAGGTTCGATCCCTGGGCTGGGAAGATCCTCTAGAGAAGGAAATGGCACCCCACTCCAGTGTTCTTGCCTGGAGAATCNCTGGGCTGGGAAGATCCTCTAGAGAAGGAAATGGCACCCCACTCCAGTGTTCTTGCCTGGAGAATCCCAGGGACGGAGGAGCCTGGTGGGCTACAGTCCATGGGGTCGCAAAGGGTGGGACATGACTGAGCGACTAAACTTTCTTTCTTTCAGTAGTTGTTAGTGAGTCTACATTCTGATTAGTCAGACGAATGGAACTCCTGTGTGATGTATCCTCAGGAAAGAAAGGAATACAGAAAACTTTTCTGAGCAAATGCAAATATTTGAGTAGCTGTATGGTATGGTTCACTATAAGAAGGCAGTGAGGATGAGAAAGGTGTCTTTTTGAATGCACGTGTTTAACCAGTTCGGTCTCTACTCACTCTCACTCACATTGCTGATGGAGAAATGAGTGCCAAAGCATTTGTTGACTATTGAAATGTTACCTGGTAGGCAGAAACAAAGTGCACGATAAGCCCTGAATTCTTTCGGGCTCCTGGTTTTCCTCATTCCTAGGGGCTTCCTTGGTGGTCTAGTGGTTAAGAATCTGCCTTGCAATGCGGGAGACCTGGGTTCAATCCCTGGGTTGGGAAGACCCCCTGAAGAAGGGAAAGGCTCCCCACTCCAGTGTTCTGGCCTGGAGAATTCCCTGGACTGGATAGTCCATGGGGTCGCAGAGTCAGACGTGACAGAACGACTTTCACTCGCAATGCAAGGGATGCTGGTTCAATCCCTGGTCCAGGAAGATCCCACGTGCCACGGGGCAACAAGCTTGACTTCTTTCAGGCTCCCTGTGTTTCCCTCACTCCTGCACGAACGCTCGCCTGTGCTCTGCTGTGAAGTCGCTCGGTCGTGTCTGACTCTTTGCCACTCCATGGACTGCAGCCCGCCAGGCTCCTCTGTCCATGGGGTGCTCCAGGCAGGAACACTGCAGTGGGTTGCCAACCCTCCTCCAGGGGACCTTCCCGACCCAGGGATCGAACCCGCATCTCCTCTAACTTCTGCCGTGGCAGGCACGTTCTTTGCCACTAGAGCCGCCTGCGTTCAGAGAGTGACTAATCCAATGCCATCCACGCTAATGTACAAGGAGGTGCTTCCACAGGCCAACTGAGCTTCGAAGGAAGTTTTCTCTCTAAACCACTCAAGTCATTTTTTTAGCTTTTTGATCTGATTTCTTC